AGACACTTGTCATGCATGAAGCTGACCTGAGTTTGATCCACAGCATCCCATATATTTCCCCAAGTGCTGCCAGCAATAATTACTGAGTGCAGAAGTAAACCCTGAGCTTACTCATGTAGTGACTGGAGGATAGAATCTGGACCTGCATGCAAACGTTGTACATAGCTCATTGAGCTATCTTTCTGACCCTAATTACCGATATGTGTCCCAAACACAAAACTTCCAAGATCACATCCTCCACTAGAGAATCAACTTCCCTCCACCATTGTTCCAGTGCCCCCCCATCCTGCTTATACTCCCCCACTCAACCCTGACCTGTGTAAACACACAAAAAACGATGGGTAAAGGGATGGCAGCAGCCTAACTCTCCTGCTGCCCGCGTTTGGTAGTCTCAGGCTGTTTTCCCACTCCAAGGAGGTCGATGACAATGGTTAGGCGAAGAAAGGAAATGAGGGCCAAGCTGGTTGGTCTTAGTAGCAGTTTATTACATGGAAGAAATGTATGTCATGGAGGCCTCAGGAGTTCTCAAGCACGTGCTCTCTTGTTCTCTCAACTTCTGTTCTCAGCCCCATCTTCCCAGGTTCTCTAACGCACATGTCCCCCAGAGAGTACCTGAAATCTCCCTTATATAGATCATGGTAGCTCTAAAGGGCGCAATATAGTGATGTCATCAAAAGGAGTTACAGAAAGAACAATGAGATGGCAGAACATACATTGTTTCTTTACATACACCTAATCTTGGCCTCACCTTTTACAAGCTACAAGCATGTGGATTAGCACCTCAAAGACCAGTCTGCTAGAGCTTGGAATCTACATCTCAAAGATTAGCCTGCCTGGAGTTAGGCATCTACATCCCCCAAGATCAGACCTGATTTAGCACCTGGGATCTGCATATCTAAGACCAGCTAGGTTCCTGTGAGATAAGGGAAACTGCCTCTTACAATATACTGAATTTACTGAAGCAGTTTGAAGGGGAGAAATGTTCAGTCTCATCCAAGCTAGTCAGGACACACGGGAAAGCTGCTTCTGAGACAGATTCTCATTTAGCAGATCAACCCACCCTAGAACAGATTTCCCTGGATGTGTTTCTCCTTTCCTTGTTCAACCAACATATAAGCATACATAATATAAATCATTTTGTATGGACACAGTAAGAAATACTTTAAGTTCATAGAATTGCTCTCCGAGGGCCTTCTTGATCTCGGACTGCAGTGCTCAGGTCAGATATCTTTCCTATTCTTAGCAGCAGGGTCCTGGTTTCGTTGTTACTTTTGGATCATGACAGCATTTGCCTATGATCAAATTCTTAACCTATAGTTAAGAATCGTGGCACTTTGGCCTGGCCCATTGCAGAGATGCCAGGGTAGCACATTACTTACCAGCTTGCCCTGGTTCCATTCAGTCCCACGTCGGGACCCTGCTTTGGGGGTGCTAGGAAGTGAGGGCAACTGAGGCTTAAGTTGAGAAAGCAGATGCCCAGGAGTGAATAATATTCAAGGCCAATTAAATCCTAAGTTATAAAGCATAATATTAATTGTCTTCCTGTATCTATACAAAAAGGACATTGCATTAAAGTAAACTGCTCAAAAGACATAAGGAGAGGAGAAAGGCAATATTAACTTGCAGTACAAGTTCAGTGTCCTAAAAGGATGAGACCTTACAAATTGGTTGGGGAAGAGAGCATAGAAGTGGTTTCAGACAAATAACTTGGGGACACTGTGATGGGTGCAACCTGATAAACCTGAGCTCCTTGTACTCCAACACTGACCCCAGAATGATATCCTTCCTACTAAAGACAAGTTCAAAATGTCTTATGCATTTGTTGTTTCCTTACTATGTTTCTTTATATACCACATCTAGGGGAGATTATCCTGCATCTGTCCTCTCCTCTGATTTCGCTAAGTATGATACTCTCTAGATTCATGTAGCAGCAAATTGCATTGTTGCATTTTTTCTTATAGTCAAATAGTATTCAATTATGTATATGTTCCAAAATTTCTCTGTCTTGGACACTTGAGTTGTTTCCAGATTTTGGCTATTGTGAATGGAGCTTCAAACAGTGCAAAAATCTTCTGAATAAAGTTTTTGGACCCTTGGGGAAAATGTCAGGAAATGGAATTGCTGGATCATATGGGAGCTCAATTTCTAGTTTGTCAGAAGTATGCATATTGATTTCAAAAAAGGCTGGATGAGTTGAGATTCTCATCAGCAGTGGATGAGGGTTCCCTTTTCCAGCATCACTACTAATACTGTTTTTGTTTTTTGTGGTATGTGCCAATCTCACTTATGCAAGACGGTAGTTATTAAATAATTCATTGATGTAAAACTCTTGCATTATCCTCTCATCAAAATCTGCCTTTGCCATATCTTTTGCTTTTCTTGGTGAATTTAAGATGATAGTTATTAAATTAATCTCTAACCTTTTATTCCTTCCAAGCTCTGGAGCATGAGCTCAACTGGGTCAAACAGAGCAGCATAACTGTTTTTTCCACTTATCAAGATGTGATGTTTGCCAGGCTTTGCCATGCAGGCGAGATACACTCGGTAGCTTGCCAGGCTCTCCGAGAGGGGTGAAGGAATCAAAACCGGGTTGGCCATGTGCAAGGCAAACACCCTACCTCCTGTGCTATCGCTCTAGCCCTTTTTAGTTATAATAAACTATATAAAATAAATTATTGTGTTTCTGTTAAGGGAGCAGGCTTGGGGGGATGTTTGGGTAAATGGGGACAAAGGTAGGAGTAGGTCTTTCTTGTGGTGGAATTGATGTTGGGATAACAAAAGCCCATAACAAACATATTATGAACAACTTTGTAAACCATAGTGTTTAAATAAAGTATATTTTTTCCCTTCAAGATAAAAAAGACAGGGCTGGAAAAATATTATATCATAGTTAACTTGCTTTCCTTGCCGAGTTATATCCTTTCCTGAGTTATATCCCCTGAGTACCACCCAGAGTGATCCCTGAGTATAGACAAGAGTAAGCCATGAACACTGCCAGAGGTGTGTCCCCCAAAGAACCCCAGATAACCTATGAATATAATTATGACAAGATTACTTGCTTCCTGAAAAATAATTACCATCTATTGTTTTCATAAAGAATTTTAGACTTCTCAGTGTGGCTATGAGAGATTGGTAGGAAGCGGCCTTCTCTTCAGTCTCTCATCTCACAGAACTTATCCTCATTCCAAATCCTAGATCCCACTTGGTCTGCATTTATTGGATGACCATTATCTCTCAATAAATTTCTGTGGGGAGATGGTTTTCTGTTGATTTCCATTACTGCAATAGGACCTCAGTTTAAACAGTATTAAAACTAGTTTATATATATATATATATATATGACAATATACTCTACCAAAGAAAAAATAAACTTGGATTAAACTACTACCGAACTCATCGTGCACCCAATGGAATTGTATTTATATGTATTACACCTCTATTTTCTTGTCACTTTTAAAAATAAATAATTTCTTTGACCACCATGGTTTATAGCGTTGTTCATAAAGCAGTTGTTATGAACTTTCTTAACTGTCCCCAACTTTCCAAAAATCCCTCCGCAGGTACACAAAAATTCATTTTATATTGCTTGTTACAACTAAATAAAAAGTAAAGGCCCTCCCGTTGATCATCGATTTGCTCGAGCGGGCCCAGTAACGTCTCCATTGAGACTTTGTTGTTACTGTGTTTGGCATATCGAATACGTCACGGGGAGCTTGCCAGGCTCTGCCGTGCGGGCGAGATACTCTCGGAAGCTTGCCGGGCTCTCCGAGAGGGGCGGAGGAATCGAACTCGGGTTGGCAATGTTGGCTGCGTGCAAGGCAAACGCCCTACCATTGTGCTATCGCTCCAGCCCTACAACTAAATGACTTATAAAATTATCAAAAAATAATTCACTAACAGAAAACTTGTGAAAATTGTTCGCCACAGGGTTGTTAATTCCTTGCTGAGGATTTACTAAGTTTTTTTGCTGCTCACTGAACCTCTATGTCATTGTTTTTATTTGTTGAGTTTAGTTGGCTTCTATGTTAGTTTCCCATCTAATTTGGTGTGCTCCAACTTGAATTTCAGTATTGTGGCATTTTGGGGTAGAAAACATACATAGCCATAAATTCCAGAAACTCCAGGCTCTGAGCCAATGAGTTGACATGGTGGTGACTGTGGAAGGAAGGTGTGACTTCCAGGGCTTATGGGTAGTGGGAAGACTGGCCACCCCAACCCTGAGAAGACCCCAGAGTTCTTAGACTGAACACTGGATACCTGGAATTTTCAGTTTGGTGTCTCTGCATAGATTATTAGTGGAGTAGTCGAGTTAGTCTATTGACATGGTGGCAACAGTGGGATATTGGTACAGCTGTGAAGGTTTCATCAGGTGGGAATTCAATCTGCCCACCTCTAAAGACACCCCAGAGTTTTCAGCTATGAGATCAATGTTTCCATGAATTTTTACCTGCCTGGATTGCATCTCCTCAGAGATTTTAGCCATTAATCTGAAGAGCAGGCCTGGTGGGTAACTCAACATGGCAGTGTTTTCAGAAGATTTTGTATCACTTTTATGGCATAAAAGTAGCATACTTTCTTTAGAGTATTGTTGTGGGAATTAAATGAGATAATATGTGAAACTTAGCCAAATTCTAATAATAATTATAATTTAAATGTCCATATGCCAGACACAGTAACAACAAAGTCTCCAATGGAGACGTTACTGGGTCCGCTCGAGCAAATCGATGATCAGTGGGAGGGCCTTTAATCTTAATTTAATCTTAATCCTCATATGACTGGAGTAATGGACCTCTCAGAAGAAATTAAATAGCCTCAAGTTCCTTTCTATAATTTTAATTGATATGACTCTAGGGAGAAAGATGACTGCAAAGGCCACCTGACTGCTGACTGTTTACACGGCCAAGCATGGCCAAGCATCTGATAGTCAGACCCAGGGTCACCTTGACATACAGAGCCATATTGAGCCCATCATTCACTTACCAATATTTCTTTTTTCAAAGGTCAATTTCTTCATCTTCATGAAAATTCTCAAGCTTCTCATTTCTAAGCTGAAAGCTCGTCAAATGTGCTTCAAAGATTATAAATACAGGTGAGTAGCTTTAGGTCAATTTATTTTGCACCCCTGTCTGTAGTGGCATACGCAGAAGTCACTTTAGTATATTATCTCCTAAAAGAAGGAGATAAGAGACAGACTCTCTGAACAAGTTTACAGAGACCATGTAGGCTTTTAGAAAATGATAAAGATTGGGCCGGAGAGACAGTGCAGTAGGTATGGAATTTTCTTTGTACATGGCTGATCCAGATTCAATCCTCAGCATCCCATAAGGTTTCCTGAGTACTGCCAGAAGTAATTCATAAACACAGAGCCAAGAATAACAAACCCAAAACAACACAAACATACAGAAGATAAAACGATGTGCATCTTCTGATGTTATAGAAATTAAGTTGGGAAATAGTCAAAATATATACAACTAAAAGACAACTGATAAAATGCCTGTAAGTACATTGAAGAAAACGTTAAAGAGTCATATCAAGGCAGTTTGGCAATAGCCTTTCCTTGAGAAGAATTTGATTGGGCAGAATTAGTGGCATAGTCAAAACTCAGAAGAGAATACTTGTTATTTTTAAGACATGAAGAAATAAGACAACCAGTTTTACAGTCAACGGAAATAAATTCTTTACACAGTCACCTTTTCTTTGTGACTTGATTTGGCCAAATCCCATTTTTCCCACTATGAGATTGTTGTTATTAATCGAGATATACTTTGGTATAGATAACTTGATCACTTGACAACCCGTTACTCATCGATTTGCTCAAGCAGGCACCAGTAACATCTCCATTCGTCCCTGTCACGTGCTAGTGTAGCCCAATGGCATCTGCTCACTCCAGGAATGCAAAGAGCCTCAAACCTAGTATTCAGGGTCTTAACGAAGAAGTCATCTTGTGGGTGGGTGGCCACATGATCTTTTGACTTCCCATGGAATCCAGTCAGTAATGGCTCTAGTCCAGCGGTCGTCTCTAAATCTCATTACGTGTCCAGCCCATCTGATTTTTGATGACTTGGCAAACGAGACAGCATCCCTGATTCTTGACCATTGATGGAGATCAGAACTCCGGATTCTTTCTCTAATTTGAGTGAAGTGTGATACTCCAAGCATAGCTCTTTCGATTCCTCTTTGGGAGACCCGAATGGCATTCTCATCCTGTTTTTAAAGGGCCCAGGTCTCTGAGGCGTATGTTAATGCAGGAAGAACTGTGGAGTCGAAGAGGTGTGCCCGGAGCCTTAGGTTCTTCTTCCTCTTAGCTATTTCTTTGACACTCTTGAAGGTGTTCCTTGCCACTCTCTTGGTATAGATACAAATAAATAAATGATAAAGGAACTTTCTTTTTCATTATTTTTAAACGTTAATTTAGTTTTTGTTTTATTTTGCTTTTTTGGCCACATTTGGCAGTGCTCAGAGTTTTGTACTCAGGGCTCGCTCCTGGCAGGCTCAGGCAACCATATGGGGTTCCAGGGATTGAACCTGGGTGAACCAAGAGCAAGGCAAATGCTCTACCTGCTATACTATTGATCTGACCCCTAATTTTCATGCGTTATATGCAATTTATCAGTGCTCTGAAGGAGCGGGTGTTTTAATACAAAGGAGAAACTCTTAGAAAAGGGATTTTACTTCGTATGGTCAGGTGGACTTGTGGATTAGAATGATTACTATCCTGTCTCCTACTCTCTGTAAATCTAGAATGGAATCAGATTCAGGACTAATGGTAAGCGAGCACCCAAGTCCTACCCCGTGCCTTTAGCTGACATTTAATGACATCTTACAATGCAACTGACTTTGTGCTTGAAACAAAATGTAAATATGATGTGGATCCCATCACAGGAACATGACTTTTAATACAGAAAAGACTTATTGGAGTGAAATGTTTCTGGCCATAACCCACAAGTTACCAATTGAACTTGGGAAAGTTACTTGGCTTCTCTGGCACTTATTTCTGTGTGTAAAATAAAGATATCACACCAAACTTATCTCCTTGTTTGTGCGGTTTAAGGAGAAATATACATATACATATACATATACATATACATATACATATACATATGTGTGTGTATGTATGTATGTTCTCAATATAATCACATATGCCCATAGTCCAAATTCCAAATATTGTATACTATAACCCTTTACATACATATGTAGTTTTGTGGGCAAACAAAAACTATCGTTGGCTAAATTGTTTTTGAATACTCCTGTACTAGAGCACTAGGACTTGCCTGGCACCTCTAGCTGAGCCTCCAAGTGGCTTCCTGTCTTCCCTGGAGCCTTTAGCTGAGCCTTCAAGAGGATTTCCCCTTTCCCAGCTTCATCTCCTACACCATTCTTTGATATGTGGGCTGAATCTGCTCTGTTTATTCTGTCCTGCGTGAATCCATTATGGAAAACAGTGCACTGAGCAGACAGGGTGTCCCAGAAAGCCAACGGAAATTGGCTTTCTACCCAGAAATGGAGAAAGGGGCTGATATATGATGAGGCACTGCTTTCCACATAAAATGAGAGCTAGTACCTCCTATTGTATGTCTCTAAAATCCTCCATTAAGAGATTTTCCCATACATTTCCTGTGTTTTATCCTCACAGTTGAATGGGTTAATTAACAAATTAACTCATAGTTGAATGTGAGTTAATTAACAAATTGAAGCAGTGGCATCAATGTTTGTGCCTTGCCAACTAAACAAGATGCTCAGAACTAGAGAACTATACAGTCTCAGGCTTCCACTGTTCAAGGGGCATAAACAGTAGCCCATTGTATTTACAATCACTTTGTCACACGTTATTATAATGACATTCTTCTAAGTTAAATATTTTATATTACTGTATTATAAAAATAATCTTTTAAAAAGATAAATTATATTATATTCCCAAAACTACATTGCTAGTAATTAGCATTTCTAGAATTTGAAGATCTCAGGTATTTTGCCTGTGCTCTACTGCCTTTGACACAGAGCAGAGGCTTAATAAATATTTATTAAATAGCTAAATTTGTGCATTAAACTAAGCCAGTTAAATAAACAAATGATAACAGATGACAAATACACATAAACAGTTTGTAAGAGTAAACTGCTACCATTATTTATGTAATTTTGTCTGAACAGGATGACCTATAGTACTTTGTATATGGAGAAATTTGAATAAGATGAGGGGAGGGGAACCCCTTTTGATATCCACCACAGAACTGATTGTTACTAAAATTACCCAAAGCTTAATTAAAACTATTATCATCTTTTAAATAGCATTGCGTGCTAAATATGAGATTTTGGATTGATGCTTGAAGTGTGCAAAGGACAGAAGTAGAAAAACTGGTGAAATCCAAGCAAATTCTGGAACATGTTCATTAGTAATGTGCCAAGGTTAGTTTCTGAATTTTGAAAAACGTACTGTGTTTATGTTAGATTTTAACATATGTTACAATGGACTGAAAGGTGTGTAGAGACTCATCCTATTATTTGTTACTTTTTCAGAGATCAAAATTATTCCAAAGTAAAATCTGCTCATTTTTTGAAAAACACTATACAAGATCCAAGGAGATAGCCCAAAGTACTAGTTAGTGTGCACACTTTGCACAGGTTTGATCTCTCATGATCCAGGAATCTCCAGTGTGCCCTTAACATCATTGCCCTTAACCATTGAGTTCTAAGTCAGAAGTAATTCCTGAGAACCATAATGCATAATCTTAAAAATAAAATAAAATCACGATCACGATCACGACCATCCTGTTGTTCATCAATTGCCTCGAGCAGGCCCCAGTAACGTCTCCTTCATCCTAGCCCTGAGATTTTTTTTTTTAAATGCCATATTCAAGGCTCTTTCAGGGTTAGGAGAATGAGACCCATCATTGTTACTGGTATTTGGCATATTGGGTATACCATGGGAAGTTTGCCAGACTCTGCCGTGTGGGCAGGTTACATTTGGTAGCCTGCCAGTTTGTCCAAAGTAGGAATGAGATGATAAGCTTCCGGGAGCTGAGTGTGATAATCTCTGGATCCTGGCCGTTGTTGGGGTTACACAGCAGTTGGTGGGTGTAACTGTCTAGCTTCTGGCAGGTCCAGTCCCAAACCGTGCAGGCTTGGAGATCTCAGCCCCAGGTCCCACACAGCTGGGTTCCTCTGCCAGTTCTTTTATGCGTGAGGCTCATCCAAGTGTGTGGAGAGTGGTCCCAGCATGGCCTTGGCTGGGGCCCGGAGGTCTCCAGCTGTTGAGCCCTGGTGCAGACAGTCAGGCACAGGGTAGGAGACTCTATAAAATAAGAATAAAAATTCTATTACAAATTTCCAAGATTGAGTTGAAGATAGGAAGTATGTTTACAGGAGGGTATGTATCATTGCAACCCAGATTACCCAGATCAAGGTTTGAAAACTCGAGTGTTAGCTAGATAGGGGCTTAGAGTGCATGTTCCCTAGGAGCTGAGAACAAGAATGGTCAAGGAAAAAATTTATCTATCCAACATTGACAGATCTTCCAAGTTTTTCTTTTCTTTTTCTTTTTTTAATTTTAGTGCCATATGCAGCAGTTCTCAGGGGTTACTCATGACTCTGCACTCAGGGATCACTCCAAGCAGCTTCAAGGGATCACGTAGGGCGCTAGGAATCAAACCTGGGTCAGCCATGTGAAAGACAAATGTCCTACCCCTGTACTATAGCTCTGCCCCCTCTCAATTTTTTGGTAAAGAAACTCTTTCTCTGGCATTTTTGTTCAAAAATTTCTTATTTGAAAGTGACTACAATAAAAAAATCATTACCTGGAATAAATGAAAACTGTTTGCAGGATAAACACAATTTATAGAGAATCATAGGATTAAAAGAGTAACATTTGTCATTTTTCTCTTGACTTATTTTGTTAAATATGATACATGAGAGAAGGTCCATACAAGTTGCACAAAACTGAAGATTTCACCTTTTCTTATTGTTGCATATTGTTTCATTTTGTATACATGCCACAGCTTTGATGCTCATTTGTCATGGGACAAAGGTTTTTTTCCATATTCTACTTACTGTACTGACCACTGAAATGAGTATTAGTGTTCATACAGATTTTTTGATAATTTACTTTGTTCGGATTTGTATTCAAATTTGTTGAATACTTTGTTCTGAGTGTATTCGTGCATCTTTTTGCTATGTTTCGCTTTGTTTGGTGGGTAGATGCCCCAAAAATGACTAGGCCATATAGAAGCTCTCTTTTACTCTGTTGAGAAATCTGTACAGAGAATTAACCACTCAACATTCCCACCACACTACAACTACACTGACACTAGCTGTTTTTTTAGTCTTTTGATATAGTCATTATCTTTGGTGTGAGATATTTCATTGCCACTGAGTTTTATTTTCCTGATAGTAAGTGATGATGAAAACTTTTTCATACTGCCCATTCGTATGCCCTCCTGTGCATACTGGATGATCTTAATTATCTGTAATATACAGGGAAAAAATGTAATAGACAAACACTTGGATTATCATCCAATAGGATTACAAGATGAGATTTCAAAGCAGAAGGGACATTTGGAAGAGACAGACTGGTAAGGTGTAATTAAAAGTACATCAAGCACAGTGGGTAGGGTGTTTGCCTCACATGCGGCTTACCCAGTTTGATTTCTAGCATCCCATATGGTCCCGAGCACTTCCAGGAATAATTCCTGAGTGCATGAGCCAGGAGTAACCCCTGTGCATTTCTGGGTGTAATCCAAAAAGAAAAAAAAGTACATCAAAACAATAAACATTATACCATTGTAAACATGTTATCTAAAGTAAAATAACAAAATTTAAAAAATAGAAATTGTTTTAATTATATGACTCACCAGAATAAAGGAGACAAGGCCTCCTGATATTTGTGTGAAGTAAGTAGGAAACAACAAACAAAAATATTAAGTAAATTACTTTATTCAAAAACAAAATAAGTGTTCTTGGTGGGCCAGTGAGATAGTACAAATGGTTAGAGTGCATGCCTAGCATACAATAATCTTGAATATCCGTAGAAGTGTATGGACCCCTGAGTGCTGCTAAGGTGGCCCTTATGGCCGTTAGCACTGGTGGGTCAGAGAAACATCATCTCATCAGATCTGAACACTGGACCATATACACAACTCACACAGTCATATCTGAGCATCATCAGGAGTGGCCCCCTAGAACTACTTGGAAGACTTCCTAAGACATTTTTTTATGTCATCTGGTTCAGCCTTTATGAAAAGCAATGTGGAGATCTATCTAAAACATAGGAATAGAATTAGCATATGACCCATTGATATAACTTATTGACATCTATCCAAACACAGAATCATTAATTCGAATGGATATATTCATGCCTATGTCTGTCGCTGTACTAAGTGTAATAGCCATGATATGGAAACAAGAAATTGCACGATGAAATATTATGCAGCTATAAGAAAATTATGAAATTTTCAGCTAATGGATATAACTATAGAATATTATGCTAGTGAAGTTCAGTAGAAGAAAAGGGATAGATACAGAAATATTTTTCTCATATGTAGAAATCAAAGATACAAAAACTGATCCACAAAAATTAAGTTGGGTGGCAGTAAGGGAGAGATGTTGGGTTCTTTGTGGAGGGGGGACACCACTTGTGATGGGTGTGGTGTTGGAATTATGTGCATGAGAAACCATTCATAATAACATTGTAAACTAAAGGATATAATACAAAAATTAAATATTTTTAAATGGAATATATAAAAAATTTTTTAAATTCTTGAAATTAAAAAAAAATTCTTAAATATTTTCTCCATGTGATTTTATCACCTAAATTCGGCTTAAGGCAAAGAAGGCAAAGCTCAATCTTCACTTCCTGTCCTTTCCTTTAATAATCAAAGTCTTGGTATCTGCAGTTTATGTGCCAGGTGCAATTCCAGTTTCATGGTAACTTATCTCTCAGTGACTTTAGGTCCTTTTATCTGCAAAAATGAGGTATTTTTCAAAGTTATTAATAATATGGAATTTATATGGTTATCCCAGATACAGACTTCATAGTATGCTTTCTGTTTGGATACAGCTACAACTTCTTGAGAAAGTTGTCAATGAGCTGAGTGTTACATTTTTAACTCCACAAGACATTAGTATTAACTTATTTTAGTCTGGCTATTTAAGAAAGATTACTAAAAAGGCTTATAAGTTAGTTTTGAAAATGATAGTAAACTGTATACTTTGTTGCATAACAGCGTATGTATTTCTATTTGGAGCAAGAGCACAGTTAGTAGAACACTTGCCTTGCATGTGACAAATCTGGGCTCGATTCTTGGTACCACATATAGTCCCCTGAGCCCTGCAAGGAGTGATCCCTGAGCACTGAGCTAGAGAGTATGCCCTGATTATCACTGAATGTGTCCCCACACCTAAAAAAGTATATGTCTTTGTGTCATGAAAGTAAAACTGTCAACTTTGGGGTGTGATTCATCTTCACTAAATTAATTATATTTATTTGTTATTTATTTTGTTTTTGTACCACCCGAAGTTGGTCTACTCCAGGAACAAAGCTCAGGGATCTCTTCTGGTAGTGCTTGGGGATTGATGATGAGCTAGGCATCAAACCTGACTCTGGCAGGCAAAGCATGTATTTTAGCCCTTAAGCCATCTCCCCAGTTGCCCATAGATTTAAATCAAGAAGCAGCTCACAGTAAGGAGAAGTCATTTTCCAAGGTGCCTGTTTATTGGAATTCCATGGATATTTCTTAAAATTTCACAGCTCCAAGAGCCCACTGCCAGAAATTTTCGTTCAGGGGACAGTAAGTACATCCTTCCATAGCTTCAGTAAACTAAAACCTATGTCTTTTAAAGTATACATCACAAATATTTACATGCATGTATGTGTGTTTGAAAGTTCTGTCCAGATATCTTAATCGTCACTATGTTGAGAACCACTGGTATGTAGTGTGGAATGTTTGGGCCTCAGCTATCCACTTTCCACATGGGTGGTAGAAAGGAATGTTTGTCTTTTTAGCAGGAGTATATACAACGTCATTTTTACTGAGAATAACTCCCTCATTTCCAAAGTTCTCACTGCCCTAGGCATGGAGAGACAACAGAGAGGTTTCTAGTGAAGCCTGCATGATGTGTGTACGGCCTCAATAGGAAGTCCAAAGTGTAGTTTCTAGTCTAACCACATCGGTTCTATGTGACAAAATCTGCTTTTCTTTCTCAAGCTCAGCAAAATATTGGCATTCAAAGTTCTGATAAGAAAAAGAGATAGAGGTCTAGGTTGATAGAATAATAATTATGGTGCATATCATAAATGCACTCAGGGTCATGTTTGATCCTCATAACACATGGCCATCTAAGTGGTGATAGGTGTGGTCCTGATGTCCCAAGCACAACTCAGGCTGCCCTGGTGGTTCCCAGTACTTGAGGGCCTGAGCAGCACCATATATTTAGTTCTAGCACTAAACTACCTGCCTGGTTGGCCAAGTACAATCTAGAGTGGCTCCAAGACCCCTAAGAAATGCTTGAGAAGCCCTCAAACTGAGAGGGCTTACTTATTTATGTTAAATAAAAGAAAAATAATCAGGTAACTTATATGTAATAGGAAACTGATCCAGTATTGTAGGGGTGCACTTTGGAATCAAAGTGATAGTCACATTTATGGAAATCTAACAATGAGACAAATGTTGAGATGTGTAGGTACATTCTAATCTTTATAGATGAAGTCATTAATTCATTCATATTTTTTTCTGACCATATATCTAGATTCAGGTGTAAAAAAGCACTGTAGCACTGTCCTCCCGTTGTTCATCGATTTGTTCAAGCAGGCACCAGTAATGTCTCTATTGTGAGACTTGCTACTGTTTTTGGCATATCAAATACCCCACAGGGAGCTTGCCAGCTTCTGGCGTGCAGGCCGGATATTCTCGGTAGCTTGCTGGGCTCTATAGAGAGGTACGGAGGATTAAAACCTGGGTCGGCCTCGTGCAAGGCAAACACCCTAGCCACTGTGCTATCACTCCAGCCCACCTAATGATAGTAGCAACATAAAAAACTAATCCTTCCTTCCATGCCCTATCGGACATGGATAAATACCTAGCTTTTGGCTGTACAGCCAAATCACCTATGGGACATTAATCTGGGCTATCTGGATGCGCTTAGTACAAAATGAAGCTAGGTATGTGTAGTTTGACTTTTGAGCCATCCCCAGTGGGGTTTAGGAGCTATCCCTGTCTCTGTGCTCAAGGGATCACACGTGGTGCTGGAGATTCTACCAGAGAAGCATCAGTGAAAAATACCACACTGGATTTTAAGATATTCAATATGTAGAATACAAAGTGAAATGTAGTAAATCAGTAAAAGAGCCAAAATAAAGTCATAAATAGAAGAATAGGAAATATTGTCTATTCGCAATGTGTCACTTATGGAAATTCTACTCGTTGGTCACAGGTTAGCAAAATCAACGCTGGTCCTCATTCCTTTATTGGGTGTTCATGAGATAATCTTCACTTTCATCACTGATGATCACATTACTGGATTTCCAAGACATCTCCGACTCATCTTTCAGTTGACTCTGAGCTCCTTCCATGTAAGTAAAAACTAGGATGCCTGATTTGAAGAGATAATACAGTAGGTATGGTACTTTGCTTGCATGTGGCTCATTTAAATTCAATCTCTGGCATCCCAAAGATGTGCTGTGTACTTTCGGGGTAAATCCTGAACACAGAGCCAGGAGTAACACTGGAGCGTCGCTGGTGTGGCTAAGAAACAAGGCAAAGACAGGGTTTCTTGACTTTAGTTTTTTTTTTTTAATTTTTATTAGTGAATCACCATGAGGTACAGTTGTGGACTTAAAAGTTTTTGTGATTGGGTTTCAGTTATACAATGATCGAGTACCCATTCCTCCACCAGTGCCCATTTTCATCACCAATGGTCCCAGTATCCCTCCCATCCCTTCAACCCCCCATCCCACCCCACCTCTGTGGCAGGGCATTCCCTTTTGTTCTCTCTCTCCTTTTGGGTGTTGTGGTTTGCAAAAGAGGCATTGAGTGACAATCATGTTTGGTCTATAGTCTACTTTCAGCATGCATCTCCCATCCTGGGAGGATCCTCCAACACCCTTGATTTGGTGCTTCCTTCTCTGAGCTGCCTTTTCCTCTAGTTTGTGCAGCTGGCCTCCAAGTCATGGAGTGAACCTCCTGGTATTTATCTCGGCTATTCTTGGGTATTAATCTCCTATTTTATTACTTTATATTCCTCAGATGAATGCAATCTTTCTATGTCTGTCCCTCTCTTTCTGACTCTTTTCACTTAGCATGATTTATTCCATGTAGTACCACTTGTATGTAAATTTCATGACTTCATCTTTTCTAACAGCCACATAGTACTCCACTGTGTAGATGTACCAAAATTTCTGGAACCAGTCATCTGTTCTCGGGCACTCAGGTTTTTTTCCAGATTCTAGCTATTGTAAAGAGTGTTGCAATGAACAAGCAAGTGCAGATGTCACTTCAACTATACTTTTTTGCCTCTCTTGGATATATTCCCAGGAGTGGTATTGCTGGGTCAAATGGTAGCTCAATTTCTAATTTTTGGAGAATCGTCCATACTGTTTTCCAAAAGGGCTGAACCAGTCAGCATTCCCACCAGCAGTGAAGGAGAGTCCCTATCTTGCCACATCCGCGCCAACACTGGTTGCTTTTGTTCTTTTGGATGCGGGCCAGTCTCTGTGGTGTGAGATGATATCTCATTATTGTTTTGATCTGCATCTCCCTGATGATTAGTGATGTAGAGCATTTTCTCATGTGCCTTTTTACCATTCAGATTTCTTCTTTGAGAAAGTTTCTGTTCATTTCGTTGCCCCATTTTTTGATGGAGTTGGATGCTTTCTTCTTGTGGAGTTCAACTTTGTATATCCTTGATATCAACACCTTGTCGGATGAGTATTGGGCTAATATCCTTTCCCATCTGCAGACTGTCATTGTATTTTGGTCACTGTTTCTTTTGAGGTGCAGAAGCTTCTTAGTTTAAGATAGTCCCATTTGTCTATCTCTGTTTCCACATGGTTGACCAGTGGAGTGCCATCTTTGTAGATACCGTTAGCTTCAATGTCATGGAGGGTTTTGCCAACTTTGTGTTCAATGTACCTACCTTATGGATCCCAGTCTGATGTCAAGGTCTTTAATCTATTTTTTTTAATAATTTATTTATTTATTTATTGAATCACTGTGGGAAAAGTTACAGAGCTTTCAGGCTTAGGTCTCAGTCATGTAGATACCGAACACATTTCCCTTTACCAATACTCATTTTTAACCCCGAACCCCAATAGACCCCCACCTCTCACCCCTCCCAATTCTTGTGAGGCAGATGAGTTCTAGTTAATACTCTATCTACTTTGACTAGATAGATTATTTCGATAGAAGATGCACAATTATTGTTTAGAGTTTACGACCCACCCCCCCCCCCCCCCAATCAGACATGCTGAAACAGCGTTGTGAAATGATTTGCTTTCTACAACTTGGTTTAAGAATAAAATGCTATCACGGCCGCGCGGTTTTGAATTTCTGCTATTTTACTTATTGACCCTGGAAGAATTTCTATTAAAAGTTAGCTAGTTAAGAGATTGGTTTCTGTGCCCTGGAGTCGTGGCCGTGCCGGAGAGCCGCTCGTGGGGGGCAGCTGGCGACCTCGGTGGGGCGTGGGGGACGGCCCACAAAGCCCCCCTTCCCATGAGGTCCCCGCCGCTCCCCCGAGCCCAGCTCAAACCTGCTTTCCACAAGGCTCCCGTGCGGCCGCCATCTTTCTTTCCAGAGAGGAGCGGGCGGGCTGGTCAACGCCCTTCCCCCTCCGGGCAGGCTTGGTGGCACGGATCAACACAAGTCCATTTGCTTTTCTGCTCCAAGCGGCTGGTTCTCTGTGCTAAGTCCTTGTGCCTCCGGGGCCGTGGCCGTGCCGGAGAGCCGCTCGTGGGGGGCAGCTGGCGACCTCGGTGGGGCGTGGGGGACGGCCCACAAAGCCCCCCTTCCCATGAGGTCCCCGCCGCTCCCCCGAGCCCGGCTCAAACCTGCTTTCCACAAGGCTCCCGTGCGGCCGCCATCTTTCTTTCTCTTTAATCTATTTTGATCTTACTTTTGTACGTAGTGTTAGGCAGAGATCTGAGCCCTCTTTTTTTTTGCATGTAGCTGTCCAGTTTTGTCAGCACAATTTGTTACAGAGTCTTTCCTTGCTCCACTTCACATTTCTTGCTCCCTTATCAAAGATTAGATGACAATATGTTTGGGGGGAGATGTCAGTCTATTCAACCCTGTTCCATTGGTCTGCAGCTATGCCTTTGTTCCAGTACCATTCTCTTTTAATTATTACTGCTTTGTAATAGAGTTTGAAGTTAGGGAGGCTGATTCCTTTCATTTTCTTTTCCCCAAGAATTGCTTTAGCTATTTGTGGGTGCATATTGTTCCATATGAATTTCAGGAGTGCTTGCTCCATTTCTTTGAAGAATGTCATGGGTATCGTTATAGGGAACACATTGAATTTGTGCAATGCTTTGGGGAGTATTGCCGTATTAACAATGTTAATTTCCCAATCCATGAGCAGGGGATATCTCCATTTTCTCGTGTACTCTTTATTTTCTGAAGTAGCGTTTTGTACTTTCCTTTCTACAGGTATTTTAATTCCTTTGTTAAGCTCATTCTTAGGTAGTTGATTTTCTGGGGTACAATTGTGAATGGGGTTTTTATTTATGTCACTTTCTTCTCTCTCACTATTTGGGTATAGGAAAGCCATGGACTTTTGGATATTGATTTTATAGCCTGCAACTTTACTATACAAGTCTATTGTTTCTGAAAGTTTTTTGGTAGAGGTTTTAGGGTTATCTAAGTATAGTTTCATGTCATCCATGAATACTGAGAGCTTGATTTCTTCCTTTCCTACCTGAATGCCCTTAATATGTTTTTCTTGCCTAACTGTTATTGCAAGTACTTCCAGCACTATAATTAACAGTAGTGAAGAGAGTGGGCATCCTTGTCTCATCCCTGATCTTAGAGGGAAGGCTCTCAGTTTTACCCCATTGAGGATAATGCTTGCTGTAGGCTTGTGGTACATGGCTTTAACTATATTGAGGAAAGTCTCCTCTATCCCCATTTTGGCGAGTGTTTTCATCATAAATGGGTAATGGATCTTGTCAAATGCTTTCTCTGCATCTATTGATATGATCATATGGTTTTTATCTTTTCTTTTATTGTTATGATGGATTATGTTGATTGACTTCCAAATGTTAAACCATCCTTGCATTCCCGGGATGAATCCCACTTGGTCATGGTGTATGATCTTTTTGATAAGTTGTTGAATACTATTTGCTAGTATTTTGTTGCGAATCTTCATATCTGTGTTCATCAAGGATATCTGTAGTTTTCTTTTCCTGTGGTGTCCTTTTTCCTTTTGGTATTAGAGAGATATGGTCTTCATAGAAACTGTTTGGGAGAGTTTCTAATTCTTCAATTTCCTGGAAAAGCTTGAGAAGAACTGGCAATAGGTCCTTTTTAAATCTTTGGAAAAATTAGCTAGTGAGTCCTCCTGTACCTGGGCTTTTGTTTTGGGGAAGACTTTTGATTACAGTTTCAATTTCCTTACTGTTAATAGGACTATTCAGGTACTCTAGATCTTCTTGATTCAGCCTTGGGAGATTACAGGAATCTAGGAATTTATCCATTTCTCCTAGGTTCTCTTGTTTCACGGCATATAGACTTTCAAAGTAGTCTCTGATGATATTTTGAATTTCTTTGGTTTCTGTTGTGATATCCCCCTTCACATTTCTGCTTTGGTTCAGTAGGGTTCTCTCTCTCTTTCTTTGTGAGTTTTTATCTATCTTGTCTATTTTCTCAAAGAACCAGCTCTTGATTTCATTGATCTTTCAGATTTTTTTTTTTTGGTTTCCATGTCTTTGATTTCTGCTCTAACTTTTATGATCTATTTCCTTCTGCCTGGTTTGGCCTCCTTTTTTGTTCCTTTTTTAAGATCTTAAGTTGTGAAGTCAAGTTGTTTATATGGGCCCTTTCTTCCTTCCTGAGAAATGCTTGCAGAGCTGTAAATTTTCCTCTTAACACAGCTTTAGCTACATCCCATAGGTTCTGGTAGCTCGTGTCTTCATTCTCATTTGTTTCCAGGTATCATTTGATTTTGTCCTTGACTTCCTTCCTGACCCACTCATTGTTCAACATTGAGTTGTTTAATTTCCGGGTGTTTGATTTGGTTTTCTGTGTCTGTGTGTGATTCACTTCTATTCTCAGTGTATCATGGTCTGAAAAGATTGTTGATACTATTTCTATCTTCCTGATTCTTTTGAGGTATGTTTTGTGGCCTAGCACATGGTCTATTTGGAAAATGTTATGTGTAAACTGGAGAAGAATGTGTATTCTTTCTTTTGGGGGTATAAAGCCCTGTATAGGTCTATAAGCCCTCTCTCTTCTATTTTTTCCTTCAAAGCCAATGTTTCCTTGCTGAGTTTTGTTCTTGTTGATCTATCCAGAGGTAATAAGGCAATGTTGAAATCTCTGGCTACTATTGTGTTGCTAGCAATGTTCTCCTTAAAAT